ACTATTCGCAGTTAACTTGCATTTTAATAATAGAGATACTGATATAATAAAATTAAATCTTTCTATTAGAAGATCTTTCCCTGGAAAGTTACTCTTTCTAGTGGAGCATAATTATATTTATACCAGACAGTCCAAAAAACACTGGACGTATCACTTTCAAAAGACGTGAGGAAATTTATGCTGTCGAAGGTAGTTATTGTTAATTTACGTCGCACTAGAGCTGCACAACGGGCTATTGGCGACGGTCTGGGAAACATCCCGGAGGATGATCCGAAGACATGCCATCACAATTTTGATCCTCTGCAGAGGGGATGGCACCCCCGCTTCGGTAGCTCAACGACCTGCGCGAAGTCGAGCACTTTATGGTAGAACAGTTTAACGAGGACCAATACCGCACACCCTCGGTCCCTACGCAGACTGATCCAAGTGGTCACCCACCCGCACACTAACCGTAGCCAGTGATACTTGACTTCGGTGATCTGCTGGGAACCGTGTTTTAACAATCAGTCCACTGCGGGACCGAAGGCAGTTAATTAAGAAAGTGATTCATACAACATTTTTCGTTTCTAACGTGAATAAAAAAATTTCTCTCTCTTCGTTTGCATGAAAAAAGTGTTTTTTTAATTCCATTTTATTACCTTCTTCATAGTTTTGTCTATATGTGTGTGTTTGTGTTGGAAAGTTGTCAAAACTGCTATTGGTGATATTGTTCTTGTACTAGTCAGTAAATCACTCTAACTTGGATTGACATCAAACATGGATTTTCAGGAGAAATTTGAGCTCCAAATTGAGTCGGAAAGGGGTCTATAGTTTATTGAAGCTTATTTCTTACTGGCTATAAAGTGACAATAATTCCTGCCTGTAGTGAACAGAAAATTATTGAACCTTATATTGTCATCAAGCATAGTGATCAAGTAGATATCTAAGCACTCTAGTTAGGTATATATTTGGTTGCAGAGTTTTACAAACTTTAGGTCAGGAAGTGCCTGAAATTTGTATTCATGTTAGAGATTTGAGTGTTTGAAAAGTAATTGAAATTTTTATTGAAGGATTCTATAATCACGACTCGAAAAATAAGTAATAATAATAAAATAATTGAATCTAAATTAAAGATTTCTCTGCGGATTAAAAGAACAACCGTATTTTTTAGAATTTTGATATTACAAATATTACAGCACCAGTTAAGAATGACACGCCCTCACATTACACTTAAGCGTCTAAATTCATTTATCTATCTTTTCTGAATAATTATTCCAGACAAAATTTCAAGCGTTTTATGTGTATTATCAATGTTACTGGCCCTCAGTGTAATTATGTATTTGTCGCATTGCCTTTTGTGTTTAAGTCAACATGTTCTTCAGCTGACATGCCAAGCTTTTCAGCAATATTGATGCAATACAGCAGTGATACGAAATTGTTCGCCAATAATAATGTAGTCGTATTGTGTTTAGGGCAGCATGTTCTTCAGCTGAACTGTCTAGTTTTTCAAGAAGCTGAATGAAATACTCAAGTTGTACGAAATTGTTCACCAGAATAATGTAATCGGATTGTGTTTAGGTCAACATATTCTTCAGCTGATAAATCAAGCTTTTCAGCAAAATAGATGAGATACAGAAGTTGTACGAAATTGTTCACCACAATAATACAGTCGTGTTGTGTTTAGGTCAACATGTTATTCAGCTGACATGCCAAGCTTTTCAGCAAGATGGAGGAATTACAGAAGTGTTACTAAATTGTTCACCACAACAATGTAGTCACGTTGTATTTAGATTAACATGTTCTTCAACTGGCATGCCACGTTTTTCAACAAGATGGATTAAATCCAGAAGTGTTATAAAATTTTTTAACCTAATAATGTAGTCGAGTAGTGTTTAGGTCGACATGTTCTTCAGCTGGCATACTAAGTTTTTCAAACAAATGGATGAAATACAAAAGTGTTAGGAAATTGTTCACCACAATAATGTAGTCGTTTTTTACTATTATCATTAGCAGAAATGCTAAACACCTTAACTCGTTCCAATGCTTCATAGAACAATAGAAGTAGAGCTCAGCTGAACAAAAGAATTTTATTATAGGAAATTAGGATATTATTCGATGCCATTCTTCGTTGAAAGGTACTTGAAGCTCCAAATATACATGGTGTACATACACAAAGGTACACATGGGAGTACACACAGGCAGTTGTATAGTGCAAACACTACTTGTTATAGAAACGGAGAAAATATGTTGATCGTAAGTTCCCATCATAACCCATAAAACCTTTGTTTATGGGTTATGCCATGAAACCTTTGTATTCTTTGTATATGTTTCTCTTATGTGATACCGTAAACTCGGGTATTTTTCTATCTATTGGCAACACTGTAGTTATTATTCCTCTTGTTAAATTATATTAAGTAATAATTTATGCAGTTTTAAAAAATTAGTTATACGTTAAGTATTAGATACATTTTGTTGTGTAGTCGCAAATAATAGTTTAAGTTGTGTTAAATTGTTAGTTTTACGCAAAGTATTTATTTGGAATAATTTTGTTATTTTAAGGAATTAAAAACTTGGTTACGAAGTATTTATTTAGATTTGATTTTGACCCTTTCTAAAATGGTTAAAAAGTTTTAAACATAAACAGTGCTATGCTGCCATTCAAATTATAGGGGTCAGAACTTGCCTTTTTCGAGCAAATAGAAATACATGCATTAAAGAATGCTCATCCTCGAGTTATGGCTCTAGGGGTGCGTGAAGAAGTAGTACATCACGCTATAGAGCATTTGGTTCAAGTTTATTATTTTTTTCTTATCTTATCTCGAGACTGAGAGGGAAATAACATAATAATATTAATATTTTTGCTCCCTGCTATGCTGCAATATCACGAACTCATATTTACATGTGTGATTTAATAGCTGCCTAGAAGACATTAAATTATCTCAGAAATTTAATGCATAGAGAACTGTCAAAATATCGCAGACATCTCTTGAAAATAGTTAAAATTAAAATCTAGATACTTCCGGCGGGAAACAGTTAGACGGTGAAAAAATTTGGTTAATATATTGTTCAAAACTAATAAAGATGTTAGTATTAAAGGACGTGTTGAAGGATTAGAATATTGAAAAACAGTTGGATGCATTCGACTTGGATACCACTTAAGTTTATATGTTGTTCAAGATTATTTTGAAAGATGACCAATCAGGTGGCCAAAGGCGGCCGCGATTTTTAGTCTATGAGTATGAATTCTATTGTCTTCTGAATGAATATGAATTCCGTATGAATATGAATTCTATTGTCTACGAATATATAAGAGCCGCGATGGCTCAGGCAACAGAGCGTTTGCCTTGCAATGAGGCGAACCGGGTTCGAATACCAGTCGATACGAATTCCGCATCCGCTTTGAACCGACCACAGTGCTGATGTGAGATATCCTCAGTGGTAGACAGATCATGGGTTAGAGTCCCCTTGCTGTGAGGTTAACCGTGGGAGGTTTTTATGAAGGTTAGTTCTATTAAAAAGTCTTCCACTGAGGCAAATTTCCCCAATACTCGATCCACTAGTTCCTTTGTCTTCTGGATCGGGTTCAAAATTACAAGGCTACGGAGTTGAACATTAGTAGCCGTAAACCCATAAAATTGAGTCGGCTGTTTAACGACGGTTGTAATTAAATAAATAACTATGAATATATAAAATTTCTGTAATTACCTATGAAAAAAATCAGTTAAGTAAAAATTGTTTTTATTCTTTATTAGCAGAAGTTTTCTATCCAGAAGTTTGTTTTTCCATGTAAGGGGTCAAAAAACTTAAAAAAGTAAAATTAAAAAGATATGTACGTAAAGTAAATGTTTCAAAAGACAAAGGAATAAATATAGAAAAGAAATGGCTCAACTTAATGTGGTCTCCTAGAGGATAGATTTCTACAGCGTGAAAAAGCTACATTATTTAAAACTCGTTGCTTTTGTTAAATGTTCAATTAAAATTAGAATTTATTGTCAGACATACATTTATAAAGAAAAAAAACATTCAGAAAAATATTTTTGGAACTCCTTCTTTCTTTCCCTTAAACATTAGATAACAATGAGAAAATAATAATTCCTGAATTCCAATTTAAGAGTAAAAGCTATATGTGAGAAATGAAAATGAATCTAGAATTGAAATGAGCTTGAACGTGAATTTTAATTTGAATTCAAATAGATCATTAAATTAACTTCAATTTAAAAATTGATTTTGGCAATACTTTTTTTTAAAACGTAGCACATTTTCTTCCGAAAATTTATTTTCCGAAGAAGATGTGCTGCGTTTTAAAAAAAAAGTATTGTCAAAATCAAGCTATTTTCAGCTATTTTTTATTTATCTTGTACTTCATGAAGAAACGCAATTATTCAATTATTAGTTCTACTGATACAATCTATATATATATTTCTCTTACACGGCCACAAAAAAAGCCTCATTACAACTCCCCGAATGGCAACGCTAGAAAATCGACCAGTGATTGCCGCTAAAAATGACACATGCCAAATCTAGTTGAGATGGCTCAACATATAGTGCTTTTAAAAACGGAAACTGAAATAACCAGAGAGAGCATAAGCTAGGCAGAAGTGAGTAGTCTTTGTCGATAGATCTCTATTTTAGTATTTTGTCGAAAGAGCTTTTTTTTCTCACGAATTTATTCATTATATATTACGAATTTATTTGACGATTTTTGATTTATATCACGAATTTATTTGCTTTACTAGAATTTATTTGTTTATGCAGGTTTTTCCATTGCAATTCCCGAATTTCATTTTTAATAGACTTAATTATAGCCAAAATTTTAACCTTTTTAAGGAGATATCAGTTTTGGAAATTTCATCTCAACATTTTATACTATAGCACATTTCTAATAGGTTTAACGAATTACATGCTGTTGGACTTTGTTGAGAGCAAATCAGACTGAAAGTCACGTAGAATAAACTGAAAACTTAACTTTTATTTACATAAAAAGAATATAAAAACAAGAAGATGTTGCCAGCTCAGGAAACTCAAACCTCAACATCCTCCCCACCCTGGTCGACCTCGAGGGGGATGACCAGAGCTACCGGACGGGTTATATTGTGACCATTAGCTCTCAGCTCACAGGATCTTATTTTTCCATCTCGTCCTTCATACAAGTTCACCACTCTAGCTTTCTTCCACATGTGACGTGGTCGGACGTCTTCTTGTAGAAGTACAATATCGCCAATTCGGATGTCAATGATATTGTCCTGATTACGAACTTGATGAAATGACCGCAATTGAAGCAAATATTCCTTAGACCATTTTTTCCAGAAGCAGTCGAGTAAGTTCTGCTGCTGCTTGTAGATTTTTCTTAGCTTTGTGTTGTTATTTGGGCTGGATGGAATGGCAGTTAGTTTTCGTCCTGTCAAGAAATGACTTGGTGTTAAGGCTGTGGAACTGTCATCTTTTCCATCTTTGTATACCAAAGGTCGGCTGTTCAGAGCGGCTTCTATTCCAATGAGGGCCGTGGACAGACCTTCCTCGTCAAGAAGTGCTCGTCCGAGTACCTTTCGTAGACATCGCTTGACAACTCCTATTAGGCGTTCCCACCAGCCTCCCCACCAATCCGCTCGTGGGGCGATAAATTTGCAAGTTATGCCATTTTGGGCATAATATTGCTGAGTTTTAGCTGATGACAGAACTTGCCATAGCAGAATCAAGTCCTTATTTGCTGCATGAAAAGTGGTAGCATTGTCGGTATAGATTGTGTGTGGGAGTCCTCTGCGGCCAACAAAACGTTGTAGTGCCAAAAGAAATTTGTCTGTGATAAGATCCGACACAAGTTCGATGTGTAATGCACGTGTTGTTGCACAAGTAAATAGTGTTATGTAGGCTGCGTCTCTTGATTTCAAACATCGAATATTCACGGGTCCAGCAAAATCAATTCTTGTGATAGTAAATGGAGCAGAAGGTACAACTCTTTCAGGAGGTAAAGGAGCTCCGATTTGTTTTCCGTATTTCGCTTTGTACAGCTTGCAAGGTAGGCATTTGTGAATAACTTGCTTTATAGCTTGACGTCCTCTTAAAATCCAGAAGGTTGAACGTAACTCGGACAGGATTATACGCACACCTAAGTGGTGGAGTCGTATGTGTGTATGCTGGATCAAAAGGTGGACAAAATAGTGTTTACCATCGAGCAATAAAGGGTGTCGAGTGTCAGAAGAAATGTTTGAAAATTGCAGCCTTCCCCCAAGGCGTAAATAATTATCTTCGAGAAAGGGATTGAAACAGGAAATTTTGGATTTTTTCGGCAGGGGACGTTCCGCTTTTAAGGCATTTATTTCAGCTGAGAAACATTGATTCTGTACAGTCTGTATCCAATAGTTTTTAGCTTTCTCTATTTCATTACAATTCAGTTCATGAGTTATGCGTTGCTGTGTCTTACAGCTGTATACAAAACGTAGAATCCAGGCAGTCACACGAAGAAGTTTTGTGTAAGAACTATAACGAGATATATCTATGATGAGTTCTGTAGTTGCAACGTAGGAGGATTGAAATTTGGTTTTTCGTGATTCAGCTTCAACTAAAGGCTGTGTACGTGTAGACACAACTTTGATAGGCCAAGTTTCTGGATCATGTTTTAGCCATTTCGGACCGTGCCACCAAGATTCTAAAATCGATAACTGTGATGGAAAGGTACCACGAGTAAGATGATCCGCAGGGTTATCTGTACCGGGACAGTGGCGCCATTGTGCTGAAGTAGTGTTTTGAGGGATTTGTGTTGTTCTGTTGCAGACAAATGCTTTCCAAAGGTTGGGATTTCCCTTTATCCAACTTAAAGCTACGGGAATTCATGTTCGTTTCCCTGCAAAAGTATCGGAGTAGGCGAGCTCCTAGTAGTGCAGCTAACAATTCAAGTCTCGGAAGGGTGAACCTTTTGATTGGGGCTAGTTTATTTAGACTGCAAATGAGATGGATCTTTGTAGAAATATCATCTGCGTGACGAGCGTACAAGCAACACCATATGCACATTCCGAAGAATCGCAAAACACATGTATGGTAACGTCGGAATTTTCGGAAAAGCCAATCCATCTTGGGATGCATATTTCATTCAGATAGTGTAATTCATTTATCCACTTGTGCCACTGCTGTGCTACAGATGGAGGTAATAGTTCATCCCACAGAATACCACTGAGCCATGTATCTTGAAACAATATCTTCACAACTACTGTAACTGGAGCAAACAAGCCTAGAGGATCGTAAAACTTTGACATCAACTTCAGTAGTAAGCGTTTTGTTACTGGTTCTTTACATGCTTGAACAATTTTTGTCTGCACATCAGTTTGAAAGACATCACTGTTAGTGTCCCATTTAACACCCAAGACCTGCGTAATATCCTTAAACGAGACGTTTTCTTGTTTCCACATATCTTTCAAAGTCTTAGAATTTGTAGTCCATTTGTCTAATGGTAGGCTAATAAGTGATGTAAGTTTCTGCAGTTCTTGGTAAAGAATCAGAGCTTCAGTATCCGTAGATGTTCCCGTAACAAAATCATCCATATAGGTGTTATTCTCAACGTGTCCAGTTGCTGTAGGATATGCTTGTTTGTGTTTTGAAGCCAATTCACGAAGAGAAGCTGCTAATAAAAATGGACTACAGACGAGTCCAAATGGAAGACGTGTGAATCGATAGGTTACAATTTTATCTTCAGTGCAGAGTTTCCCATCAGGAGTATATGTAGTATTGTACCAAATAAATCGTGTTGCATCTCTGTCTTCTTCTGCTAGAATCAGCTGCAGAAATGCTTGTCGCCTATCACTAGTGATTGCTATTTTAGAAAGTCGAAATCTCAACAATGTGGCTAAGATATCAGGAAGAAGATTTGGTCCTACTTCAAGAGCGTCGTTCAAAGATGGGTGACCTGGAGAATGTGAAGATGCATCAAAAACTATACGCCACTTAGTTTCTCCATGAGTGATTTTCTTTACTGCGTGATGGGGCAAGTAATATAAACGTTCTTCATTATGTGTTTCNCGCCCATCACTAGTGATTGCTATTTTAGAAAGTCGAAATCTCAACAATGTGGCTAAGATATCGGGAAGAAGATTTGGTCCTACTTCAAGAGCGTCGTTCAAAGATGGGTGACCTGGAGAATGTGAAGATGCATCAAAAACTATACGCCACTTAGTTTCTCCATTTGTGATTTTCTTTACAGCGTGATGGGGCAAGTAATATAAACCTTCCTCATTATGTGTTTCTGAGACAACTTCAACGTGTTTTTTATCAATGTAATCTTGCATGTGCTCAATATATTTTTCTTTGAATTCTGAATTTGCATGCATTTTCCTTGTTAAAGATTTAAATCGTTGAATTGCGACTTCATAATTGTTCGACGAAAGTTGAACTTCTGGTTTCCAAGGCAATTTTACAACTCTTCTACCATCGATGATTTCAAAAGATTGATGAAAGTTCGTTAAGAGTTCAGAGTTGTGAGGACTTATTTTTTGTTGTGTTGGTTGTATACCAATGCTCTCTAAGTTCCAGAAATTTCGTACCATATTGTCTAATTCCTGAGTTGAAGTATCCACATCAACATTATGAACCGTTGAAATAAAGGAAACTGTTGCGTGTGATCGAGTTCCACTAAGTACCCAATAACAACTTGATGGGACCAAGGCCAGAGAATCCGACAACCTGACTGGAGCTTCAGAATTCATAATAATCCAGTAGTAATCTGCACCGATTAAAATCTCAATTGGTAAGTTCGACAATGAATCATCTGGATCAGCAAGTTTCAATCGCTTGTTTTTAGCAAAGATGGAAACATCCGTTGATGAAGGTAGGTGTGATGCATATTCGTTGGAGCTTTCAAATGCAGTAACATTAACTTTAGATTTGTCCCAGATACTTGATAACTGAAATTTGACTTGTCTTTGCATGTAGCCAACATTAGCTGGGGATTCAAAGGCTTGAATGTCCAAATGTCTGGTTGAAATTACTGGAAGTTTTAAAGTATCCACACGATTAGAAGAAACGAAACTAGATTGACTTCCACCATCCAAAAGACAACGTGTCAGTTTTGTAATGCCAGTGGGCCCAGTTATAAAAACTCGTGCAGTTTGCAAATGAACGAAACTGGAAGGCGATACATCAATTTTGTTTGTAGATGTAGTCACAGGCTGCTCATTGGTTAGGGGTTTGCATATTGATGTATGGTGTTTTCTCTTGCAGTTGGCACAGCAAAATTTTTCTCTTCGGGGGCAATTTTTTTTGGTATGTCCTCGGTTAGTGCACAAAAAACATCTATTACTAGTCTTCAATTTCTGTATGCGTGCGTCTATGTCCGTTACAACATTGCACTGTTGAGGCCAATGTCCGACAGTTTCACAGAAAGGACAAAAGGGTGACATTATTTTACTTTTGATAACTGATTTAGAATTCACGTTAAACTTTTCTAAGGAGGATTTAATAGGATAGTCTGGAGCAAGTGAACCTTTAATATTACTTGCAGTAATTGACCCCTCGACCTCTTCTGATAAGAATTTCATTAATTTTGAAATATCGCTTTCACCAAAATTTTCACGTTTGGCATGTACAATCTAGTTACGACAGATTTCATGAGGAAAAGCACGAAGTATTTTAGGAGCCAAAATTCTTCCGTATGATTGAGTTTTTTCTCCTAAAGCATCTAAAGCCTGTATTCTTCGATTACAATCAATATATAACTCATTTATTGCTGCTGGAGAGTGATTTTTGACAGGTTTTAGGTTTTCTAAATAATCGAGATGAGCCTGTATTATTTTATCTTTATCGCCATATTTCGATTTCAAAATATTCTTTGTTGTTGCATATGTTTCTGCAGTTATATTAATTCCATCAACTATTCGTTTTGCTTCTCCATCTAAATATCCCCGCAAAAAAACATGCTTGTCAATCAGCGATAAAGTTTCGTTTTTGTCGATACAGTTTTCAAAACGCTCCCAAAAACTATGGAATTCTTCAATTTCGCCGTAAAACGTATTTATTTTTATTGTAGGCAACTTTACTGTAACACTTGAAGGCGAAGACGAAAAATTATTTATATTGGCAGCTGTTGGCGGATTGTTGTTTTATTGGATGTTTCAGAAATTGAATTCGTGTTCCGATTCGCTGTTCTTTTGAAATTAAATAACGCCAAATAAGCATATTCTGTGTATCTTTCGCATTCTATTATGTTGAAGCGTAATGAATGGTTTGAAGAACAGAAACATTGAATAATTAATATTTACATTTATTTACAATTTATACATAATTCGTTTAGTTTAAATGCGGCATCAAATATTTAAGATGCGAATCAGAAAAGATATAATAATAGAACATCATTAAAAAGCAATTCTAAAAAGTAGGAATTAAAGTTGTAGTTAAAACAAACTTAAAGTTATTAAATAATTATAAAAACAATTAATGCAGAATATGATGTGTGATGTCACGTCGCTTCAAT